GAATATTTGCCCACTCATTTACCTATGTGGATCTGCTGTGAATATTTACCCACTCATTTACTCTGGGGTGTGAAAATTGCATACAAAAACAGGAAAATGTTTGCAATTTTCTATTTCAAATAAACCATGTCTTGTCACTAGGAGAAGAGAACCAAACAACCTCTTTTCCAATCAGCATTTGGTTTCTTACCTTGGGACACTTGGAGGAGCCCGCGTTGGCCGGGATGGGACTTGCGGAGGTGCTCCAAATGCCTCACTATTAGTGGGAAAAGGAGGTAAAGGTCCTGGACGGAATGGTACTGGTGGAGCCCCAGACTGGGGGCCCGGGGATGGAATTGCGGGAGCAGGTCCTCGGCCAGATGTGGGTCTGGTTGGAGGAGCATTTAACGTTGATCTCCTTTGGTTTGTAGGGCTTGGAGGGGGTGATCTGAGGCAAAAGACAAATAGTTTACATATTCCTACTTTCTGACCATATTAGATTTTTTCTATCTTTTTTCATATCTCTTTATTATTTGTTGAATATTATTGAGGTACCTAAATACTATCACATTTGTGCTACTTAAATCATCTTCTTTTTCATATTTCTTTTAAAAATTAACTTTTATTGCTAACTTTTGTTCTTACTTTACCTAAATTTTCCCATATATCCTTCCTTCCCTCCCAGACAGCCATCCTGTATAATAATGAATATTTTATTTTAATTATTTTTTTTTTTAGTGAGGCAATTGGGGTTAAGTGACTTGCCCAGAGTCACACAGCTAGGAAGTATTATGTGTCTGAGGCTGGATTTGAACTCAGGTCCTCCTGACTCCAGGGCCTGTGCTCTATCCACTGTGCCACCTAGCTGCCCCAATAAGGAATATTTTAAAAAGGAAAAGAGGAGAAAGTATATAAACAAAATTAATGCATAGGAAAAAATTGACGTCATATTCAGTGTACTCACTAGGCTGCCAATCTAAATTCATCCTCAACTCCTCACCAATCTGTCTCCAAGGCTCATTGATTTTACCTTTATAACATCTCTCTAATATACCTCCTCCTCTCCTCTGATATTGCCACCACTTGGATGCAGGCCCTCCTCACTTCACTCTTGGACTATTCTAACAGCTGCTGGTGGCTGTGCCTGCCAAGGCTCTCCCCATTCCAGTCTATCCTCTACTCAGGTGCTATGGGCAGGTCTGACCATGTGACTCCTCTACTCACTAAACTTCAACTTCAAATGTGAAATCCTCTGTTTGGCATTCAAAGCCCTTCATAACCAAGCTTCCCCCAACCCCCACCATTCCAGTTTTCTTACACCTTACACCTTTCCCTCAGCTACTCTTCCATCCAGTGACATTTCCCTCCTTCACTCTCTCTCAAACAAGACCCTTCATGTCCCTGCTCCAGGCGGTGTCTGGTGAACTCTTTGAGAGCACACACCATCTCTCTTTGTATCCTCAGCACTCTGCACAGTGTTTAACACATAGTTGGTACTTGATAAATGTTTATTGACTGACTACAAAGGAGTGGAAGGGAGTGTCTTCTATTTCTTTTTGGGGGGGCAAGCTAATTTTTTGCAATTTTTCAATATTCATCATTGTTTTGTGGTTATTGTTTTTTCCATTTCCATAGTTAGAGTCTTCATGTATATTGTTTTCTTGGCTTTACCTATTTTGTGTCACATTATATAAATTTTTCCATGCTTCTTTGTATTTATTATGGTCAGCATTTCTTACAACACAGCACTATTCCATAAACTCACATATCATAATTTGTTTAGACATTCTCCAATTGATGGATATCTGCTTTGTTTCTAATTCTTTGTTATCATTAAAAGTGCTGCTGTATTTTTGGGGTATGTGGAGACTTTTTGTCAGTGGGTGGAATCTCTGGGTCAAAGGGTGTGGACATTTTAGTCACTTTATTTGCATAGTTCCTAATTATTTTTCAAAATGATCTTATGGGGGCAGCTAGGTGGCATAGTAGATAGAACTCTGGCCTTGGAGTCAGGAGGACCTGGGTTCAAATCTGGCTTCAGACATTTGACATTTACTAGCTGTGCGACCCTGGGCAAGTCACTTAACTCCAACTGCCTCACCAAAAAGCAAAAAGAAAACAAAACGACCTTAGGAATTCCCAGTTCCACTAACAATGCCTATCTTCCTGCAGTGCCTCCCACGTTGACTTGGTCCTTTCGTGATCTTTGCCAATTTGTTGGGTATGAGGGTTGTTTTTATTTGTCTTTTATTATTAGTGATTTGAAGCATTCTTTCATATGGTTTTTAATGGTATGCAATTTTTCTTTTGAAAACTATTTATATACTTTGAATATTAGGGAATGGTGTTTGGTCTTATATATTTCTGTTAGTTTTTTGTATATCTTGGGTACCAAACTCATCCATTAAATATAATACAAAGATTTGTTTCTCATTCTAGGTACAATAATTTTGTGCCAAAGTTTTTTTTAATTTCATGTGATCAAAGTTATTTATTTTCTCTTTTGCAATTGATGCTATCCTTTGGTTAAAAATATATTTCTTAGCCAGATTTATGAAAGTACATGATCAGTTTCACTTCTAATATTTTTCATATCATCTTTAATATTAAAATCACATATTCCTTTTGAATTTATTGTGGAGTATGGTATAAGATGTTGATCTATAAATAACTTCTGCCAGACCACTTTCAAGTTTTCCTAGCAATTCTTATTAAATAGTGAATTCTTTCCTAGTAATTTGAAATTCTGTTCTTTCTAGCTTTTTCCCAATACCTCAGTATAATAGCAAGGTCAATTAATGGCTAGAGTTCCAGGAAGACCTGCCTCACACATTGACTGGATGTGGAATCCTGGGCAAATCACCAAACTCAGATTTAGTTCCTTCATTTGTGGAATGGTAGTAATAATTCCCTCTCTCTCACAGGATTGTTGGGAGGATCAAATTATATTTGTAAAGTACTTATATCATTGTACAAATATTAGTTATTATTATGGATATTAAAGACAAAAACATTTTGGAGAAAAAATCATTCTGAGGACATTAGGCTGCCATTTATTAAATTAGCGGTCATGTACAACAACATAAGCCTAAGGAATGAAGAATATCAGTGGTTCTAAAGAAGTATAATACATTTTCTGTGCTTTTTATCTAAAGTTCACTTTTGCTTGCTTGGTTATTTGTTAAAAATTCAGCTGGCAAGAGAATTCTAGATTCTTATGCTTTCAAATTTTAGGGATATAATGGGCAACTAAAAAAAGGCCTTTGGTAAAAAAAAACAAGACAATTCTCATTATTGCTATGTTCTCCACCAAAAAACATATGTGTGATCTAGGAAATATGAGGAGGGGAAATGGGTTAATTTTCTTTTCACAGGAGAGACCTAAGCAATTTAATCAATCTTTGGCTAGGGGACCTCAGAATTTTAGGCTAGACAAATGGGGCCATCTCTAAGAACTAATAGTACAGGGCCGTAACATTTCAGAATTGAAAGAGATCTCAAAGTCTATATACAAAGCCAAATCTGAACGACACAAGAAGTGGTCATCCATCATCATTTACTTGAACACCTTCTGTGAGGGAGGACCCACTACCTCCTACAGCAACCTATTCCATTTTTGAATAATTTTAGTTATCAGGAATTTTTTCCTTTTGCCATACCAAAAATTTCCCCACTGGGGTAAACAACAGGAAGTAGTGCCAGGATTCCTTGGCTGAGCCAAGTTTGGAATGAGCAACTATTCACGATTCATCAGGTATGTCCATTTAGCTGTTTCAAAATTCACTTAATTATATGGATGTCTAGCTCACGCTTTTGCATCTTTTTTTTTAAATAACAAGAATAGCGTGAGAGACTTTGCTAAATGGCTTGCTAAAATCTAGGTAAACTATATCATTAAACATTCTTCAAATTTATCAATCTAGTAATCTTGCAAAAAAATAGTATATGTGGTTAATCTGGCATGATCTTATTCTTAATGAAGGTTCCTTGTGAGAAAATCCAGAAACAAAGTAGAAGAAGAATGACAGAATATTTGAACGAAGGTAAGTGGAGGGAAAAACAAATGATTTTGTTGTTGCAACAGGTAATAGACTATTTGAACAGAAAGAAGAAATGTATGAGGAGTTTGGGAAACATAACAAACCTAGCACTGGGACATGATGTACTTGTTTTAGGGAAATAGGAGGTTTCAATTATGCAGACTGCTGGAGTGCCCTCTCTCTGTCTCAATCTCTCTGTCTGTCTCTTTCACTCCCTTCCTCTCCTCTTTCTTCTTTTCTCTCTCCCTCCTCCTTCTCTTCCACTTCTCCTCCTCCTCCTCCTCCTCCTTTTCCTTCTCTTCCTGTCAGCCATAAGCAGAGGAAACAATAACTTCTTGACTTGCCTCAGTAATTTGATCCTTCCTCAAGTGGAGGAACCAACGAGGAAAAATTCTAATTTGGATCTAAATTTCAGGGAGAGGGGTATTGGTTGCTAGGGTTGAGCTAATGGGAACTCTGCAGGGAAATGACTACTCCCCCTTTAAGTATGCCAACAGAGAAGAGCAAATTTAGGCTTAATCTGACGTGCACTCCAGATTTTGTGATAGTTTATTTCAAAGGCTTTAGAAGAAAGATTGGTAGGAATTCATGCAGTAAAATGTTCAAGAGAAAGTCAGCCCAGGAGGGATAGGAGATGTTCAAGAATTAAGTTTTAAAGAAACAAATGGAAATAATTCCAGTCAGTTAAAATGGGCTTTGTCTAAATGTGTTCATGCCCAGGGAACTTATGAACCAGCTTATATTTAAAAAAGAAATATATAGACAATGAAAGCAAAAGGATGAATGTAAGAGCATGACACAGTCCTATAAAGTGGTGCCAGGAATTCCAAAGCTCAGAATAAGCTGAAGCTAATGAGGGATGCCAGGAACAACACAAGGGTTGCTTTTGTTTTTATCGTAAGCGGTTTCTGAAAATTAACTGTGAATTCTGGGAATTGTAGTTTAGCACAGATAGCATTCTCTTCCTGCCCTGGGAGGGACTGAGACTAAAGTATTATAAATGCAGAGACTGGGACAGAGTTCTGCCATGTAGGGAGTTTTAAGCTGGATTGTGGCAGAGAGGGAGACACCTGACTTTGGCCAACATCAGAGTGGTTGGCACCAGTGGTATAATGTTGGGAGGGGTGAAGGGGGGGAGAGAGAGAGAGAGAGAGAGAGAGAGAGAGAGAGAG